CTTCGGTCCACCCTCTCTGGGGCACCTGGTGCTGGCCACTGTCGGCAGACAGGATACTGGGTTAGATGGACCTTTGGTCTGACCCAGTACGGCCGTGCTTATGTTCTTATGTTTATATCACTCAGCCTCCCCTCGTAGGTCATGTGCTCCAGCCCCCTAATCATTGTGGTTGCCCCCTGCTGGACCCACTCTAATGCGTCCACATCCTTTCTATAGTGGGGGGCTCAGAATCGAATACAATACTCCAGATGTGGCCCCACCAGTGCCAAATAAAGGGGAATAGTACAAGGATGCTGATTAAAAAGATATTCTGGTTTATTTCTGACTGGGCCATTTACCATTTTAACAAATTAGTGTCAGATTTTCAGGATATGTCTAGACTACATGGTCCATCGACAAAGCCATGTAGATGAGTTTACTAGACATAGGAAAATGAAGCGGCGATTTAAATAATCGCCATTTCATTTACATCAAAATGGCCACCGCGCTGTACCGATCAGCTGTTTGGCGGCACAGCGGGGCAGTCTGGACGTGCTGCGGTCGACAAGGGACGCCTTTGTCGACCACTCCAGTATGCCTCGTGAAATGAGGCCTGGGGGAGGGGGAGGGGGATCAGCAGGGCCTTCATGGGCTGGATTCATCTGCTTGGCGGGCCAGATCTGGCCTGCGGAGGCTCCTTTGCCCACCCCTACTTTAGACCATCCAATGGGCCTGCTGCCTAGCATTCAAGTGAGCACAGGGAAACATGCCCAAGTGAAATCAAAACCAGAAAGAAAACTTATTAGGGAAACAATTATTTCCTCATTCTCTTTTGATCATTGATCCTCTTACCGTTGGGTATAAATTTAATGAGCTTTTTTCCCCCAGCTAATATCAATTTGGGGAACATTACCAGAATCTGCAGTATCTCACTTCATCTAGAGGGGTCACTAATACTAGCTGGCTGCCTCAAGTCTGGCATGATTTTGCGGAAATACTTTTAACAGAAAAGTTTGTCTGTTAAAAGTATTTCCGCAAAAGAGCGTCTAGATTGGCTCGGATGCTTTTGCACAAAAAGTGCTTTTGCGCAAAAGCATCCATGCCAATCCAGACGCGCTTTTGCTCAAGAAAGCTCCAATGGTCATTTTAGCCATCGGGCTTTCTTGCACAAAAAATTAAGGTGCCTGTCTACACTGGCCCTCTTGCGCAAGTATTCTTGTGCAAGAGGGCTTTTCCCTGAGCGGGAGCATGTAAGTATTTGCGCAAGAAGCACTGATTTTGTACATTACAAAGTCAGTGCTCTTGCACAAATTCAAGTGGCCAGTGTAGACAGCTGGTAAGTTTTTCCGCAAAAGCAGGTGCTTTTGCGGAAAAACTTGCCAGTTTAGACATAGCAGCAGAGTGTGCGGTTAGCAGGTTTACAAATGTTATCTGTTCTTACATGTGTGCTTTTCCTTCTTCAAATTGCTGCAGTAAAGGGCAGCTTGTACAGGCCACACAAACAATATCATTAGCAAAACCTAAAATTACATTTCAGCTTGGAATTGAATTAGTATTTGGATACCATATACGTTCAGAGCCAGGAAGCTGATGCAGCATTTACTGACTTGTGTGTTAGTGCATGACAGGCACGCCCTGAATTACATACATCCAACTTACAAACATCCACACGTACAAACAATTGCTCTCCTGCAGCCACAGGGGAGCAGGCAAGAGGTGGCAACAAGCGGCACGGGTGCGGGCCGTCGTACTCCGGAGGAGCAGGGAAGTGGTCATACAGCCACAGGATGGAGAGAAGCAGCATTGTTAAGGGGAAACCGCTACTTCTCACTAGCCGCTGGCTGCATGGCTGCCCCCTGCTCCTCCTAAGTCCCCTTGTTGAGTGAAGGCTGGATGCAGCCCCAGGGAGGCACTGCAGAGCCTGCAGTGGGGAGGAGAAATGGCAGCTGGGGAATGGCCAGAAGTCCCCTTTAGAATCTCCACCTATCTTCTCATCCTTATTTAATGAAACCTGCCTTTCTGCAAGCACACCAACATTCAAGGTTAAATAAAAAAATATTTCTGATATTTTTCATTGCAAATATACAGTATTTCAGCTATATTATGGGTTTAATAGGGTTTTGTGGGCTAGTCAGGGAACCTAGCTACCATTTATAACATTGTTTCTATGGGAAAATGTGTTCCGGGTTCCAAAGAACCGGCTTACAAACAAACTTTTGGAACATAACCTGATCGTAAGCTGGGGACTTCCAGTTCTTCCTAGAGCTCTTCACTGAAAGTTACTACTAATGGTAAAGAATTGTCTAACAAACAGGTTCTGCATGTATGTGAGAGTGATGCGGGGAATGCTGGCAAATCTGGTTTTGCTGCATTTGTCTTTTAGCATTTAAAAATGCCCCTAGCCTTTGACTACATTTTAAACAGTGGCACCACTCATACTGCAAATTGTAGGACATCAGATTTGATCACACTAATCAGAATTTGAAATCCTGAGAAACCACTAATGGGCAATTCTCTTGATACAGGTTGAACCTCTCTAATCCAGCACTATCCATGGTCTGACATGATTTTATTTGGCTGGATGTCTGCTTATCATGGGTGTGGCCACGTTTCCCACAGTCCCATAAAGTTTGTTTACAGTCACCAGCCCTGGCTCTCAGTGTTCTGTGCTGTTATTTAGCTCTAATTTACCCCTGTCAGGTTCAAGTTCCCTGGCTCATTCAGTTTTCTGAGGCTGACAACAAAGGCACAATTCAGGATATGGCTGCTGGGCAGCTTCTGTGCTGTGAAATCAGACAGAGGTTCAGCAAATCCTTTTGCAAATATATCATTTAACAAGCTGTCAAGTGATAACTTCTTATAGCCTCCAACCTAGGCTGGACTTAGAGCTAAAGGCAAAGGGCTATTCCCTCCAGCCCTTTTCCAGAACATCCTGCACGCATGTCAAATGGGAAATCTGGCTGGTTTTTAACCCATCAGGACAGATTTTGTAGTGCTGTGATGGTTCCTGGTGAAAAGCTATAATGCGCTGGGCTTGTTTCCACATGGGACTAGGGATGTAAATACCCCTTAAAAATGTTAACTGATTACACGATATAACTTTAATTGGTTAACCAAGGTCTCCAGACCAGGCCTCTGTGGGCAGCAGAGCTGCTCCAGCTTGCTGGGGTCCCACCATGCCATGGGTGGGGGGCTGCTTTCAGCCCGGCCCCGCACATCCCAGTGGGCCCAAGCAGGCTGGAGCGCCTCTGCCCGCAGCACGGTGGTCCTGGCCAGGCTAGAACAGCCTCCTTCCCGCATTCAGCAGAGGTCTGCTTCAGCCTGGCTGGGCTGCCAGTTAACCAGTTACCCGGTGAAAAGCTGCCCAGCACCAGCGATGCTTACTGGGTAACCAGTTAACCTTTACATCCCTACCTGGGACCAACATCCCCTGTAAAATACAAACACACGCAGCTGTGCATCGATCTTTAACTACCACACACATCACACTGAAGGGGCATGGCCAGAGCCTGGGTCCCCTTATGTGCTGGGCCTTCAACCAGCTCAAACTACAACAGACCCAGGAGCAGGTTGGGGGGAGAGAGCTCTTGGGCAGAAGCCATCCAGGCAGCATTGAAAATACATTAAAATCGCTTATAGATCCTGTCCTATTGCAACCCGGGTACCTTTTAATAGCTTCCTGCTGGCTTTTGCTGCAGCTCACCCAGCTCTTGCCAGAGCTACACACCTGGGTGCATCTGTTTACTTTCACCTGTGCCTCCAGGACAGAGGTGGTGGCTTGTTTGTCGTTCTGAAAGGAGAAAACCCATACAGCAGAGTCTAGAGTAGCTGGCCCCCAAGATAGAGAGACTGAAAACAAAGGCAAGTCAGATACCAGAGCCAGGGGCGGATATAGGGCAGGGTGAACGGGGCGGCCGCCCCGAGCCCCGCGCTTCAAAAAGCCCCGCGCATGCGCCGTGGCAAAGGGGGGCCCCCGCGGAATTATGCTGCCCAGGGCCCTGCAAAACGGTCATCTGCCCCTGACCAGAGCATGCACCAGGTCGCTAATCATGTTCAGCCTGAGGGCCGCATGCCGGCAACCATGGGCAGTGGGTGAAGGTAGGGCTAGGCTTGCTCAGCCCAGCCCCACCCCTCCTACCCAGGCTCTGCCCCCATGTGTACAGTAGGGCTATGTCTACACTCACAGCTTCTTGTGCGAGTAATATGCAAATGATGCTAAGCGTGGAATATTGCTGAGCCTCATTTGCATACGTAATGAGCCACCATTTTTTTTCAGAAGAGGCTCTTGTGCAAGGAGGAGCGTCTACACTGCCCCTTCTTGCGCAAGAAAAACCCTCTTGCGCAATGCCGTTACACCTATTACTTTTCAGGAAGAACGGCATTGCGCAAGAGGGTTTTTCTTGCACAAGGGCAGTGTAGACGCTCCTTCTTGCGCAAGAAGCCGCGAGTGTAGACATAGCCTAGGTGTTCTAGGGGCAGAGTCTGGGTGGGGCCTGGCTAGGGGTTTGGGAAGTCGATGCCCCCCCCAACCCCCCCAGCAGCCCAGGACAAGGCTTAATTTGCAATACACCAGGGCAGACTGAGGCACTATGAATTATGGAGGTGTGGGGTGCAAAGGCATTGCCTCCACCAGGACCCCACAGACTGCACCCCTAGCATACAACAGCCCCAACCTTCCCACTGTAGTAAAGCCACCAGAGTTCCCAGCCCCAGTATGCAGTGTGCTACCCCAACCGCGGACTACAATTCCCAGCATGCAGTGGGGTCCCCTACCACGCTTCTCCGCACGCGGTGAGGACAGGGACGCACGGGAAAAGACAGCGCAATGCATGGTGGGAGCGATTGTTATTGAAAGGACACTGCGCCTGCGTTGAAGCATTGTATGCACTGCGCATGCGTCTACTCGCCCTGCTGCTGGGTCAGCTAACGGTGATTGGCCGCGGAGCGGCCTGACCGCGCAGGCGCACGGAGTCAGGCAGGTTTCTCCTGACCCGACAGCGCCCCGGACACCGCTATGCCCGAGGGCAAGTCCCCGCTCCGGGAGGTGCTGCCCAAGCAAGGTGACCGCCCCCTGCTCGGGCCCCTGCCGCCCCCACAGGCCGCCCG